TTTTTTTTTTTTTTTTTTTTTTTTTTGGTACCAGGGATCCAACTCGGGTCCTTGCGCTTGCGAGGCAGGCCACCTAACTGCTGAGCTAAATCCCCGGCCCTAAGGTAGGTTTCTTTATAGCCGAGTTTAACACAGAAAGGCAGGGAAGACTCAGCATGGTGAAAGGAGCCAGGAGGCTGGGACCAGCACTGCTCTCCTGTACCCTTCCCCCACACACCAGATGCCCTCTAGATAAGGGTATATATCCTGGTGGCTTGGGACGCTGATCAGTGGCCTAGCTGAGGGAGCCAGAATCCTGTAGAGAGCCTCAGTCATGCCGGGGGAGGTTCACGGGTACAAAAATCACACCTGCTTTCACAGAGCTTAGCTGCCAGAGCCTATGAATGTTAACGACCTCAAACTCAGGTTATCCAAAGCTGGGCAAGAACACCTGCTACAGTTAAGGAATGAGTTGGAAGAAGCCCAGCAGGTGGACCTTTTTGTGGAGCTCCAGGCCGTGAAATTTGAGGAGCTGAATTTCTTTTTCCTAAAGGCTATTGAAGGATTTAACCAGTCTTCTTGCCAAGAGCAGCAGAAGCACGAATGAAACCTGTCTAAGAGGTGTTGGGCAGTGCTATTAAGGACGAAGGTCAGCTCCAGGCCTGGGAAAGTGAAGAGCTTTCCCAAATTTCTCAGAGCAAAGTAGCAGTTCTCCTGGCGGGTGGGCAGGGGACAAGACTTGAAGTTGTATATCTCAAGGGGATGTATAATGTTGGTTTATCATCCCATAAGCCACTTTTTCAGGTTCAAGCAGAGCATATACTGAAGCTACAGCTGTTAGCTGAAAAATATTATAGCAACAAATGTGTTTCTCCATGGTATATTTTGACCAGTGGCGGAACAATGGAAGCAACAAAGGAGTTCCTCACAAAGCTCAAGTACTTTGGTTTAAGAGACAGAGAGAGAATACAGTCTTTTTTCAGCAGGAAATGCTACCTGCTACGAGTTTTGATGGAAAAAATATTTTGGAAGAGAAGAACAAAGTTTCTATGGCCCCAGATGGAAATGGGGGTCTTAATCAGGCTCTTGCAGTCCAGAATATTGTGGAGGATATGGAACAAAGGGCATTTGGTGCATTCATGTTTGTTGTGTGGACAGTATATTGGTAAAAGCAGCAGACCCACAATTGGATTTTGCATTCAGAAAGGAGCAGACCATGGGGCAAAGGTGGTAGAGAAGGCAAACACTACAGAGCCACTTAGAGTGGTTTGCTGAGTGGATGGAGTATATGAAGTGGTAGGATATAGTGAAATTTCCCTGACAACAGCTCAGAAACAAAGCTCAGATGGATGATTGCTGTTCAGTGTAGGCAGCATTACCAGTCATTCCCTCACCATACCACTTCTGAGAGGTGTTGTCAATGTTTATGAACATTAGCTGCAGCACCAGGTAGCTCAAAAGAAGATTCTATATATGAATTTCCAAGGGGACTCAATAAAGCCAGACAAGCCAAACAAATAAAGATGGAAAAATTTGTCTTTTGCATCTTTGAGTTTGCAAAGAAGTTTGTGAAAGATGAAGTATTATGGGAAGATGAGTTTTCCCCACTAAAGAATGCAGATAGAATGGGAAGGACAACTGTACACTGCAAGGCGTGCTTTGAGGTCCACTCGCCATTATTGGGTCCTCAGTGCAGGGGGGCCATTTCATAGATGAAAATGGTTCTTGACTTCCAGCAGTTCCCTGCTTGAAGGATGCCAATGTGTAAAATCTCTCCCCTTATCTCCTATGCTAGAGAAGGACTAGGAAGTTATGTGGCATATAAAGAATTCTATGCACCTTTAATCATTGATGGAAATGGAGTCCATGAGCCAGTGAAAAATCGTGTATGAGTCATATACCAAGTTCCAACACAACATGGGATAGATACCTTATCATTTTTGATAGGCCAACTGTGAACCTTACAGGACCTCTCCTGGAACACTGAAGTTTGAACATTCACAGGGCTTCATTCTGCATCTTGAACTCATAACCACTGTGAACTTCCCAAGATCTAGATGACTGAACTTCAGGTAGCATTTTTATGATTCTCAATTCATTAACGGTCTTATTTATATTTTTCAGTTATCTGAATTATTTCCAAGTCAAGGAAAACATTGGCCATCTAGGAAATTTCTTATAGCCTAAGTATAATCAGGATGTTCAACATCACTTTACTTGTTTTTGAAGCTGTACATAGTAATAATATTTCAATGTACATGTCAGAAGGTTTCTGTGGTATAGAAGTTTGTTTGACTTTATTAAACATTAAACTTTTTTTTTTTTTGATACTGGGGATCGAACTCAGGACCTTGCACTTATGAGGCATGCCTGGTGCCACTGAGCTAAATCCCTGGGCCAGCATTAAACTTTTTAAAGAAAACAATTGGACAGTAAAATAAACTTACCTTCTTGTCTCTGGAAGGAAAAAAAAAAAAGGTAGGGAAAGGTTACAGTGTATTTTTAGTTTTTGTGACCAGCCTTGCAAAAGAGAAATTCTGGTTTCTATAGCCTGCCTTGAGGGGGAAAAAAAGCAGGTACAAGGAGGGTAGGAGAAGGTCAGAGACAGATGGCAACAGACAGACAGAGACACAGCAACAAAGACTAAGACTGTTTTCTGATGCCTAACATTATAACAAAAGACTGGCAAGACTGGTGTCCACATTATCACTCTGAAATTGTCTTGAAACTGCTTCAGAAACTATAAAGACCAAATGCCAAATACTTTTAACATTATTGTAGTCATTTAGGAAATAAGAAGAGCCATTGGAATCATAAGCCAGGAAATATGGATGAAAACAAAAATATATCAATCATAATAATCATACTGACACAAGTTGCAAGAGACAGAGGAGACATGGCAGCTATATGCAATATGGGATCATGGCATGTGGGGGGAAGGACATTAATGGAAAACTTTCAGTCCAAATAAAGGCTGTGGCTTAGTGAACAGGATTGCACCATTGTTAACTTTGGGTTTTGATTAAATATGCTATGGTTACTTAAGACATTAACATCAGGATGAGCTGGGTAAAGAGGATTTGGGAACTCTACTATTTTTGCAACTTTTATAAATCTCATAATACATTATTTCAAAGTATAAAAAGATTTTGTTTTTCCAAAAGCATGGCCTTGGAGTGTGGCAGAGAGCATTGGACCTTGGACCTTCCACTTACTGTCTGGGTGACCTTGAGCAAATTAGTTAAATGCTAAGCATTTTCTTTAGAAGAGAGACACTCATTGGATTGTTGTGAACATTGAAAGAGATTGTGTGTTGAAGAAACTCTAGATTTTAGCTGTTATTTTTAAGATACATTTCTCCATGTGTTTAATGTTTTTCTGATCAGAAGGGTTCTTCAAATGTCTGGCAGTTTTTGTTTGTATTAAAGAGCACCTGGAAGCTGTTTAAGTAATGACGTTTAGAGGCTGGCGAATCTGATTTTAGGTGCCCAGATGGCCAGTGAATGCTTTGTGTTATAAACTGCAGTTGACAGTCTTAGTGGTTTTTGCTGGGTTCAGATACGGGTGTGAGCCCACCTTCCTGCATTATAGAGCTGAGTAGGAGGCTTTTCAGTGTACAACCTTTACTCACCCTGACTTCAGACTGCACCTCAGCTCTGCCTTATCCAACTGGTTCCCTTTTGGTGCAGCTATTCCTGCATTTTTGTCCTTTCTCCAGGAGTCTGTTGATTGCATCAGAGGAGTAATAACTGGAGGCCCCTGTCTCATTTGTTGTTTATTCATGTCAGTTCCCACCCTATCCCCCACTAAGCTGTCTTCCTAGGGGCTCTCTAGCTTTCCAGGATCTGGAGAGGGAAACAGCTCCTTCTCTCCGGCTTCTCATTTTCAGACACAGAGCTGAGGCCTTCTTCCTCTACTCCACTGAGCAGTGTATCATCCTTCCCACCTTCATGGATTGTGGTTTGGGCTGCTAGAGGTCCTGTAGTTTTATCACCAGGCACTCTGTTTTGTCTTATGGTTTCCTTGTTTGGGATGTGATTTCTCAAAAAGAAGGACAGAGAGATCTTTGCCACCTCAGAATCTTACTGCTCTTTGCTTTCCATTGAGAGAGCCATTTAACCTCTGAGGCTTTTCATTCCCTTGTTATTTTAGTCAGAGCTCAGCTGTATGGAAGGCAGCTGCACGTGTTCCTTCCCAACCAGTGAGCTGGAGAAGGTGCTTCCACAGACCATCCTGTATAAATACTACGAGCGAAAAGCTGAAGAGGAAGTTGCTGCGGCCTATGCTGATGAGCTTGTCAGGTGAGTTCACAGAGTCTTCCCAGTGTGAAGACCACCTGGATGCTTTGCTTGGGTGAAGATAATTCTTTAACAGTGCTGCCTGAATATATATATAAAACTGCATATCACTATTCCTAGCAGCAGTATTAATAAGAGTCAAAATTTGAAAGCACCCCAAATTTCCACGGATTGATGAGTGTCTCTGTCAACATAATACAGACATAAAATGGAACACCACTTGGCAATAGAAAGGATTGAGGTACTAATGTATGCTACATCATAGATTAACCTTGAAAAGAAGTTTGCTATGCAAAGGAACCTAGTACAAAAGACCACAAGTGTATCATTCATTTATATAAAACATATACAAAAAGTGTATAATAGAAACAAAAAATAGATTAGTGTTTTGTGTGGACTAGGGACTGGAGGGGAGAGGTGGCCAATGGGGATGCGTTTTCCTTTCAGGGTGAGTAAAATGTTTCAAATTTCAATAGTGATGATGGTTGTACAATCTCATGACACTGAGACCATTAATTGTATAATTTATAAGGTAATTTTTATTGTATGTAAATTCTATTAAATAAGAGGTGTATTTTTAAAAATGCTACATCCTGCAGGTTTTCTGGCATTTCTTACTAAGAAATAAGATAGTTAATTTTATTAACAGAAAAATCAATAGATTGAATGTTTTTGTCTACATCCTTTGCTACCTCCTCATATACTGGCCTGTGAGTACAATGATTTTACCCTGAGTTAGAGATAAAATCACTTGTGCAAGGAATTCTCATAAAGGTTGCGATATATGTTTATTGAGGGACTGGCACTGAGTAAGGAATGGTACCTGTGTGTCCTGGAAAGAGCCAGTACAGAGAAGAGGCTCGGTCCATGTTTCAATGCAAATGGAGGAGTAACCAGTATTGCTGTCCAGTTCCGAACTTCCTCTTAGTAGGAACAGTTGCATGAAGCCAAAGAAAGACTCATGCTGAATCCTGCTGCTTCTGCTGTTTTGTTCCCAGGTGCCCCTCCTGCAGCTTTCCTGCTCTGTTGGACAGTGATGTGAAGAGGTTCAGTTGTCCTAACCCTCGTTGCCGGAAGGTAAGGAAGCAGTGTTTTTCTGCACATATATTTGAATTCTGGTATGGGCAATCCTGGTGGCCATTGTGTATCTGCATGTTGGTGAATGAGGAGATTTGACTGTTCTTGTTTTTGTGAAAGCAGAGACGGTACTTTGCGGTGGTGGTTGACGTGGTTACAGAGATGGGGGCCAGTTCTAGATTTTGTGTGACAAAACTCTGAATCCCAGTTTTATGTCATCTTCATGCAAAGACAAATGCTGGAATTTCCAATGTGAAGTATTTTGTTTTTCTTCACTGCATCTTCAGTTTTCTTGCTTGCCCTTTTCCTTCTGCTCAAATACTACCCCCCACCCCCACTCATATACAAACTTCCTGCCATTCTCAACGTCAAAGTGACACTCCTGTAGCTAAAGAACTGGGCAGCATTGTAACATTTCTCTCATGTCTGGTAGGTTTTCCATGTGACTGTTCTTAGAACTCACTGTGTCAGATGAGACCAGAGCCATCTGGTCACCTTACTGCTACAAATTTTTCTCTCTTAAACTAGGTTCCCATTCTGTGAGCTAAAAGTGTCTTCAAATTCATCATTTATAAGCCACTTCAGAGTTTTTAGTGAATATTGGTTGTCCACCTAGGCAAATGTGGTTTAGGCCCTTTTCCTAAAACCATATAATCAGAGTTGAATGTTGTAGTATTTTGTAGAGAGGGAAGAAATTGAGGTAGATATTGGAAAAGAAGGAAGAAACTGGGCTAGGGATTTAGCCCAGTTGGTTCTGTGGTTCTGCTGCCTGCCTCAGAAGCACAAGGCCCCAATCCCTGGTACCCAAAAAAAAGAAGAAGGAAAAAACTAAAGTAGTAAACTGAAACTTTACCCCTTTTGATTTCAACATTAATATTTCTGTGTGAAACCCATCTGTGTTTACATCTGATAAAGCCATTTCATCATCTGTCCCCACACTAGGCCATGGGGGGTCATAACAGTTGTCCTCGTGGTATCTAACATTCTGGAACTAGGAAAGCATAGTAACTGACTGTCCTTGTGTGTGTGTGTATGTGTGTGTGTGTGTGTGTGTGTGGTGTGTCAGGCACTGAAATGCCTGGAAAGGCGATGTCTGAACTGAAATGTAGAGCCAGGAGAGCATAGCCAAAGGAGGAAAAGGGCAAGAGTAATAAAAATGGAAAAATGTTCCAGACCAAAGAAGCAGCAGCAACCTGGAGCACTCACTGGTAGCAGGGTTACAAAGGAGGCTCAGGAGCTGGATGTGTGCGAGACCTTAAAGCCACTATGAAAGGGAGAGGTAAATACCAAGACCTGTTTGGCTGCCATGTAGTTCAGATGAGATATGTGCATTGCTGCCAGCTCCTCGGGGGTCTTTATGGATTGGGTGGAAAGCTGAAAACTACATTTCCTGGTAGGATTCTGTAATGTGGCCCAGGAAGAATGCTGATATACTATTTGGAAGCCTAAAGAGAAAGAGAGTCCCATTACACTCCAGAGACATTGAGAAACAGCAGGAGGATATACGCAAGTCTGAGACAGTGGCCAGTGAGGGTGTAGAACATCAGCTTGGGTTGTCCGTGGGACTTCCTAGAGGCACCAGAGATTCCAGTTAAGAATACCAAATACTCTTCTTCTGTCTATGGTGGAATATATATATGCCTAGCTGAAATTGGAAGTAGCCATTTTGTTTCTTTTGGCCAGTAAAATGTGAGTGTGAATAGATCGCTTCCATTAAAAAAAAAAAAATGCAGCAGTAGAACTAGCACACATTCACTCACTGTTGCCTTTCCCAAGCTCAGTGCAGAATAGGCAGTAGGGAATTCTAAACTTCCTGCTTCTCTCTGGAAAGAGAAAGTTGAACATGAAACTAGCATTCTAGCTTTTCAAGACCCTGCCTAAAACAGAACAGGATCTGGTATAGTCTGTATGCTGCATGTCTGTGTGTCACTGAGAACAAAGCATGCCAGAGAGTTTGTACTCCTCTGGAAGAGCCAGGGTATAGTAGACATAGCCCGGTATACTTCAGAAGCATCTTGCCTGGGTGATAGGAAAAGGAAGAGAAGAATGGATTGTGTGTCCAGTGTTCCAGCTTTTCCAGGGGTGCCTAAGGACTAGTTTCTGTTTTGCCCAACTCGGAGTGCTAATAGTACTCTGTATACTCTAGAGGCCTGGGAGCTGCTGAGACCAAAAAACAAAAACGTTGACTTACAGCAACTCAAGACCTGGCAGTACCTCAGACCAGATATGAGGAGATACAAGAGGTTTCATATTCAGGAGGGTACCTACTCGAGGGGCTGCAAAACCTCTAACTGGGAATTTCCATGCACAGACTCAGAAAAGACACATCCACAGAAAAGGCTTGAGAGGCCCCAGAATTCAATGATTGGTGAAGGTATTTCCCTATACAAAGCTATTCTGTAAGGACTGGGAGGGGTGACTCTTTTTCTAAATGTGTAAATCCAAACATAAAAGTAACAAGGCTCACATACACAAAAAGGCCCAATCAAAGGAACAAAATACATATGTAGAAACCAGCTGGGCATTGTGGCACATGCCTGTAATCCCAGCACTCGGGAGGCTGAGACAGGAGGATCGCTGTGAGTTCGAGACCAGCCTGGGCTACATAGTGAGTTCCAGGTCAGTCTCAACTACCTAGTGAGACCCTGTCTCAAAAAACCAAAAAAAAAAAAGAAAAACAGATATATATGAATTCCTGACAAAAGATTTGAAATAACCATCATAAAAGCAGTCAACAAGCTTGAGAAAATATTGCATGAACAGAATCAGGACATCAACAAAAGAGAAAATACTGTTTTTAAAAAATTCTGGAGCTGAATACAAAAATTGAAATGAAAAACACACTAGAAGGATTCAGCAGTCTTGTGGGGTTTTTTTGTTGTTTTTTTTGGTTTTTTTGAGACAGGGTCTCACTATGTAGTTCAGACTGCCCTGGAACTCACTGTGTAGCCCACAGTTGGTCTCGAACTCACAGCGATCCTCCTGTCTCAGCCTCCCGAGTGCTGGGATTACAGGCATGTGCCACCACGCCGGGCAGGATTCAGCAGTTTTAAAGCAGAAGAGTCAGTAAACTGAAAGCAGTTCATTTGAAATTATCCAGCCCAAGGAGCAAAAATTGAAAGAATGAGTGTGAAGAAAGCCTAAGGGATTTAACAGTGGTCATCAGGTAGAGCATTACACACATTTTGGGAGTATCAGAAGAAGAAGGGGGAGGGGTGGCAGAAAGCTTAATTGAAGAAGTAATGGCTGTGAGCTGGGCATGGTGTAGCACGTCTGTAATCCCAGCACTAGGGAGGCTGAGGCAGGAGGATTACTATGAGTTCAAGACCAGCTTGGGCTACATAGTATGTACAAGGCCAGCCCAAAATGCATAGCAAGACCCTATCTCAAAAAGACCAAGAAGATAAGGTAAACCAAGGAAGACTACACCAAGGTGTATAATCTAGTTTACTACATCTGCAGATTTTGGTGTTGGGTGGGAAGTGTCCTGGATCTAACCACCCTGGATACAAACGAATGAACAAACCCTGGGATAAAAACGAACCCAAAATGAGTATACCCAAATAAATGAAGCAAACATTGAACTGAAAAGAAAAATAGACAATACAAAAACAGGATTTTTTAGTATCACATTTTCATTAGCGGTAGAAAAACCAGCAGAAAGATTAATAAGGAAACAGCTGATCTGACCAAAACTAAGACCAAAAGGACCTAACAGGCCTATTCAGAACTTTGTACCTCACAGGAGCAAAAGACATACTCTTGTCAAGCACACAGAGAATTTTCCAATATAGAGAATTGGATCATGGTCCCATAGCTGTAAGAAGATTGACATCTTACTACATGTTTTTCCTGCCCACCATGAAATGAAACTAGAAATTGCTAGCAGCAAGAAAATAGAAAAATTCACAAATATGTGGAAACTAAACAGCAAACTGGGAAGCTTTTCTTCTGAGATCAGAAGCAAGGTAAGGGTGCTCTGGTGTAGTACTCCTGTGCTAGCACAGAAACCCAAGGTGATCAGCTTCTGAAGAAGAAAGGCTTGTTTAGCTCCAGAATTTGGAGCCCTTCCACAATCATATGGCCTCATTGTTCTGGGCCTGTCATATCTCATGCCAGGAGTGCAGGGCAGAGCAGACCAGCTGCTGTGTGGCCAGGAAGTAAAAGAGAAAAAAGACAGTGTTCCAGGTCCCTTTGAGGGCACACGCCTGCCAGTGACCTGGCGGCCTCTTACTTGACCTAGAATTCTACCATCTCCCAGTAGTGCCATTCTGTGGACAAGGCCTTTATTTTTTTATTTTTTCCCCCCCTCGTTGAGTTTATTGGTACATTTTAGGTCAAGGCCTTTAATACACAGGTCTTTAGGGAACAAAGGCCAGATTGCAGAATACCCATCTCACCTCTTCTGTTCGGCATAGTACTAGAAGTCCTACCTGGAGCAGTCAGGCAAGAAAAAGAAACAGAAAACATCTATACCAGAAAGTAAAAGGTAGAATTATCTGTTCACTGATAGCTTGAGAGGTGTGTGTGGGTGTGTGTGTGTGTGTGGGTGTGTGTGGGTGTGGTGTTGAGGTTGAATCCAGGGCCTCACACATACTAGGTAAATCTGCCACTGAGCTATAGCCCTAGCTCTGACCTGGTCTTATGTGTAAAAAACTTTAAATTTTCTACGAAATAGCTATTAGAGATAACAAACTCAGCAAAGGTGCAGGATATAAATCCAGCAGATCAGAAATCAAGTATGTTTTTGTATAGTAACAATGAGCAATCCAGAAAGGAAATTGAGCCCAATTTATAATAGCATCAAAAATAAAATTCTTAGGACTAAATCTAACCAAAGATGGAGGAAAAACTTGTACACTGAAAATTACAAAACACTGCAAAAAATAACTGAAGAAGTCATAAATAAATGGAAAGACACCCTGTGTACATGAATTAGAAGGCTTATATTAAGATGTCCATATGCCCCAAAGTTATCTACAGATTCAGTGCAGTTATCA